GAGAGAGAGAGAGAGAGAGAGAGAGAGAGCGAGAGCGCGCACATTGTGAAGAGCCATCTCCCTTCCATCTCTGTTTCTGCTCCTATAATGCACTTTAGAGGTCTGTGCTCTTACGTGTTCTGACTGCAGTTGGCATCTCTTTAGAGCTTATCTTGCTCCTATTAGAGCAACACTGCAGTGTTACAAGCCATCATCTCTCTTGCTCATCACCCGAACTTTAACAGTCATTTCCCACCACTCTATCATGTCAGCTGCTTCTGGGAAATACACAGCCCTCGCTGTGGCATGAATCTTCCTGATGGGAAATGGGTTCGCATCTCAGAAGCCAGGGCATCTTGTATTTCAGAAAGACCTCGTGACTGAAGCAAAGAAAGAAAGAGGAGCTTTGCAAGAAACAGTCTGTGGTGTCACATGACAGAGAGGGTCTACCAGATGAAGTGTAAGACGCTGTGTGGAATGTCTCTGGCCACTATGCTAAGGAGTCCTGCAGGATCTAGCTGTGGGTACAGAAGCAAATTGTTGTAGGTTGAGTATCAAATGGGTAGAGAGGATACACTGTCAGGTGAGTACCTCTCACATTACTGACAGTCAGGGAGAGCTAGAGAGTGAGAGCCTATGAACAGGAGAGCCAGGAGAGCATTACTGATGGAGTGAGGCCCCTCAGGATGCCAGAGGGCTGACAGCCAGAGAGCTCTGGGTCATGGGACTTGTGATCCAGAAAAATTATTCTGTAGCCTTCACAGAATAGTGACTTGAAACAGAGCTTGGACTCTGCTTACTTCTTCTCAAAAGTCTGACATTTCCTAAACAATATATAGACGTACCAAAAAGTAGCTTTTAAAAACTGTTCAACCAGCTGGGCATGGTGGCAGTTGGAAGGTTCATTCATCAATGTGGCATCCTGGACGGGACAGTTACTTGAAAGACTGGGGGTCCAGTTGAGCCTCTTTTTCCTCTCCGTCTAGTCTCAGGGTCTCTCTAAGTGGTCTCCTCAGTAATGGAGTGGGATTTCTTTTCTTTCTTTCTTTTTTATTTTTATTTTTTAAAGTGGCCTCATCCAACTTTTATTCAACTGGGAACAACTGGCAACATGGCTGCTTATCCTCTTGCAGTCTGAGCTGGAGAAGAGAAACCAAGGCAGGAGGGTAGATGGGAGACATGGAAGAATTCAGGGAGAGGTGAGGAAGAGGGCAGGGCAGGGCTCCTGCACAGGTGGATTCTGGGGAGGCCCCCCTTCCCCCGCACAGAGGCGCCCTCTGGCTTGACTTGGTGGCTGCAGGAACATCGAAGACCTGTGGTCTTTGAGACATTTCATTCTTGCTGTCATAAGGCGGCTGCCAGGGGGTCTCAGGACCCCACCTCCAGGGGTCACTGGCACTGAGCCAGGGCAGCTCTGAGGGTGGTCACCAGTTTCCGAAACTGGTTCTCGGTATCCACGTAGCCATCACCTCTCTTCTGGGAGTGAACCCACTCCCCAGCTACTGTCACTTCAAAGAATTCCGTGACCTGGGGAGTCCCCTCGCCACAAATGTCCAGGCATCCAGGAAACTCATGTTCTAGTTTCTCCTTGAGCTGGAGATAATTGGGCTTGTAGCCTCAAGCTCCACAATACAAGACCTGAGTGGAGAGTGTCATATGCTCCAGATCGCATTCCGGCACAGCACAGGGACCCGACAAAGGAGCAACAAGGACCTCGAGGTCTGCTGGAGTGGGATTTCTTAAGAGGCAATTTAGAGTTCAAAGATGAGTGGTTCCAAGAAGCAGTTAGTGAAATGATGTGGGCCTGAAACTTGGCATAATGTTAATTCTGCCGCATTGGATTGGTCATAGCTATGACAGAGCCCTCCCAGATTCAAGAATGAGGACACACATCCTGAGTGACAGATGACTTGTGACCCTTATTGTTATACAAGCCCTTGCATGCCACATGTTTGAAAAGATTACCTACGAAAGGGGCACAGCACAGACTCCCTTCTGTGCATCAGCTCCTTTGTTTTCTTTTCTCCAGACAGGGTTTCTCCGTGGAGCCCTGGCTTTTCTGGAACTCACTTTGCAGATGAGGCTGGCCTCAAACTCACAGAGATACTCCTGCCCCTGTCTGCCAAGTGCTGGGATTAAAGGCATGGGCCATCACTGCCTGGCTCAATTTTTTTGTTTAAGAGCTGGTTACCTTCTTATTTGTTATTCAAGTGAAGGTGGTCCTGAAATCCCCACTCCCAGTTCTGTGCGCTGCCGTCTCTGCCTTCCCTGAGCTGGAGGAGTTAGGAGATACAATCTCTTACTCATATGTTGCAGGAATAGGCAGGCTTCTCCCTCATCTATCTGTATATTCCATGTCTTTAAATCTTTTTCAAAGTCCAGGAACATGGAATTGCTACATGCTAAAAGCAGTAAATTGCACTTTTGTCAATTGAGAGGGAGAGGAGAAATACTCTTTAGGTAGCTACGTTATAGCTTATAGTTTCAAGAAGGCTTAATTTCTTGGTTATTTTAATGCTGAGTGCTAATGCTTTTTAGCAAGTTAGTTGTGGGTTCCAGCAACATGGGTGGGTAGTAAGCAGCAAAGTTACTATAACTTTAGTTATAACTTAGGTTAATTATATGTGTTAATTACAGATAATTATGTTATATTTTACTATACTTCAAAACTTCGAGGGTCGATCTTACACCCCAATAGGGCTTGCCACCTGTAACATTTCCAGTAAATCTTTTTGTTTTGATGTGAGCCATTGGAAAGTTTATATATAATGAAGCATCCAGTCACTTCCCTTTGAAGAGTCAAATTCATCCAGAAAAGATGAAGTAGCCGATGCATTTATACTTCTTTATCGACTACAAGCAGCAGTACATTTATAGAACTGGTTCCCTAAAGACCATTTTGCTGTCTAACAAATGCACCAAAGTATTATTTGTGTGTAAAATGATGGTGTCCTTTTCCTAAAGTCAGATAGTTTTTCTTCTTCTCTTTTTTTTTTTTTGGGGGGGGGAGGTAATTAGAGTTGTTTGTAAGCTATTCAAGAACCTTTAAATTCCATTACAGAAATGATACAGCTCCACTTTGTATTAAGCCATTAATGGTTTCACTTCCCAACAAAGCCGGCTCTTCTGGCATTCACAGGCTCAGGAGACAGCCGCTCAGCAACAGCGTTTTGCTGGCCTTGGAGCCGCTGAGGGCTGAGTAATGCTTATGAGAAGGAAAAAGAAGAGCAGGCTCCCTGAGTTAAAATCTGATAGAGAGTCGCGGTGGAGAAAGTGGTGACTAGTTGCTGGCAGAATTCTCAACACCTCCTCAGGCTGCTGGGGCATCTGCTTCAGTTTCCATTTCTGCTTTGGAGGTGCTCTGGAGAGCTGGGCCAGAAATCATCTGAATCCAGGTGCACAGTATTCTTGTAACAGCCATTCTGTTAATGTTAAGACCTATCTGCAGCTCAAATCCTTAAAGGATGTCCCTAGTCAGGATGTGGGTGACAGCGAGTCCTGTATCTCTACCCGCACTCCTGAAGCGGGGTAACTTTTGAGAAGAGCTTTGAGTATTTTGAAACTGCGTTCTGGGCAGTGACCGGCATTCTTTGAGAGAATAATACAAATTAATCACTAAAAAAATTAACACCGGATAAACCGCTTGCATCCTCGCAGCGGAGAGCAAAGAGAAGCAAGGGATTGGGGCCAA